TCGTGTCCTAATTAAAAACTTTATATCGACAACACTTCCTGCCCACGAGACAGCGATCAAAGCACTCCTTCAGACAAATAAAACTGAAACCAATTGCGTGTATGTGTGTGTGTGTGTGTATGTATGTGCAGTGTCTGCACATTGTCTTCACCTCCACATGGCCAGCGTTCATCCAGTGAACACTGGTGCCACCACAGCTGCTGCAGCTCCACCCGTCACTCCCTCAGAGGTATATGATTACACACTATTCATAGACTTCACGCTTGTTTTTCAAAGAGATTAATTGCCAGTTCTTCTTCTGTTGGAAGTCACACAAACATCTTAGCTAGTGTCCTCCACCCTCTGCTACTGTTAGCTGACTGCAAACTGTGTGTGTGTGTGTGTGGTAGAAGAGTAACAATTAAATTTCAGTGGTGTGTGTTTTGTCGGAGCAGCAGCAGCAGCTTGTGTTTAAAACCTTCATGGTTGCTCCGTGCTCATAATGTGTCCAATAACCAGCAGGGCCTGAAGGGACGTCAGCTATCACTCAGTGTGAGCCCGGTGTTCATCCGGCTACACACACACACACAGAGCTACATGTAAATGTTGTTTACCCCTTTATAAATGCCTTCTCTTGCCCCCGTAACATCCTCTCTCTCTGCCAATTACCAACCCTGAGTTCACTTTAGAAAGTGTGGTTGTTGAAGATACTGCCACACTACATCACAGAGCTCCTTTAGAAAACTGCCGACCCCCCGGCCCCCCAATTTAAAAGCTGGCTGCCCTGGGGGGCAGGAGCACAAGGAGGTTCAGATTTGAGCCTTTTTACAGAGTTCTAACAGAATAAAATTATACTTCACTCAGAATATTATCTGAACACCTTCTATCACCTGTAACTCATTGTGCTTCCACAAAGCTGGTGCAGCTAACCTTTAGCCTGTCCTTCCACCCGCTGCATTTGTCTTTACGGTAATGGCAACAAAGAAACGGCAAACACCAAAACTTTTGCCAAAGGTTGGTCCAAAGATGTGTTAACGTATCTTTGGAACTATCAAAGCGATAAAAGTAAAATGCCTTTAAATTAGGCAAGAACATGCAAAAAACAGCAAAGAATATTTTATTAAAGCTTATTGAAACAATCTGCTAAAATGAACCAAAATGGTAAATGTAATGAATATGCAAAGATTGACAAATTTATCAATGTTGATAAAATGGGTACTTTTTGACGAACTGGTGGTTTTTGAGTAACTTATAACTCTCAAGCTAACCTTTAGGTACATTTGGTCAAAATCTTTTTTCGGTGGATTTTTACCTCTGTCAATATCAGTATAGCTAACCCTCCGATAGTTGGTCTCTGGTTCAAATCCGGGTTGAAGGAATTACCGTTTTAGTGGTTGTTGTTATCTCTGGTCTTATTGTACGATGTTCTCAGAGACTTTTAGCTCATTGCCGTTGCTATTTCTGACTAGGATTACCATTTTAGCTAATATCTTGGACATTTTACTATGCTTTAGTGAACAGTGGTGAACAGTACCGTTCAAAGGCCCCATCATACGAACTCCAGGGTCTTAAGACATAAAAGTGTCTAACTGCTAATGCTAGTTGCTAATGGCTAGTTTATTAATTTAATTATTTAATACATTTTTAATGAATTCTTGAAGACAGAGTGGTTGAAGGAAACCAGTGGAAACATCAAGTACGTTTGTTATTGTACTTTTTAATTTTAAAGACAGAACACGATCTGAGAGGCTAAGAAACTCTGACATCAAGACGCTAATGTTTTAGCAACAAACGAGGTCGGCCAAGACACCGACAGGCGCCAGGCTCACCCCTCAGGGTTAGACTGTGTGTGTGCATCATTAGTCAAAGAAACTAAGTGGCCAAAAAGAAAGGATCATTTCTACATTTACAGGCAGCGGCGATGACATGAGTTACTACAGTGTGACCACCAAACACAACACGAACACACAATCGACTTCTCTCCCTGGAATTCAAATAAACACATCCTTTTTCCTGGCCCGCTGTCCTGCAGACGGTCCAACTTGGCAGCTGGCTGCTCCTAATCATGTTGACAAGCCTACTGAGAAATCATAAACACTGAACCACTGTGTGTCCTAATGGCCAATGGTGCAGTGTTGCAGCCTGGAGGAAACATTGGAACACGAGGGGAGCCAAGACAGGAGACGGAGACGCTCCTGTTAGTCCTACATGACTGCTCCACTAAACGGCCTCTGCTCGCTGGACTGTGTGTGTGTGTGTGTGTGTGTCAGGATGCATCGGATCAAAAGAAGAAAAACTTCTCATTCTTCTTGAATGTCAGTGTGTGCACATTTTTGAGTGTGAGACGTTTGTGTGAAGACAACCAAACAACATTTTACGCCGTATTGTGAAACACGGCGTTTGTGTCTTTGTCAGGTGAGTTAGTCTGACAGTAGACGATGAAGGATAGAAAATATTTAAAATTTTATGGTGCGAGCTAACGGTGGAAGAAACACTCATTTAATGCCATTATGCATTTCCTAAATTGTATTCTCCTGAAACCAGTGGCCCAAAAACACCAAAGTGGCCCAGTCCATGGTTGTTTAAGAAAAACTAAGAGAATCGACTTGGTGAGGAATTGAGAAATTCCTGCAGACGACAGGGCAACAACTCAACACCCTTTGTTGTGTCTGGGGCCAGGTTTACATTCAGAGCTTGGGCTCCAAACCTCCAGTGAACCTTGGTCCAAATGTGGAGACGTTACCAAAAAACACGACTTTTTTTCTTCATTTTCTCAAATAATAACATCAAAGTGAACTGCTCACTTTTTCATTTATTTTCTTTCCATTATTTAATAATTTAGATGAAACCATCAAAGGGTGTTTTCATTCCTCTGAGGCTAAAACTAAGAGTCAGAGAAGTTTTTAAAAACCCACTCAGGTTGTTTCCATCACTTTGTCAGAAGCGTTTTATTAATAGAAGTGAGTTACTATGGGAGAGTGTCACACTGACATCGAAGGAAGTCCAGGAGAGGACAGATTCACCAAAAACGTTAAAAAATCAAAACTCATTTTCAGATTTTCTCTTCATCCAAAGACAGCTGTAGTATGCACGCTGGACTGTGATTGGATAAATGCTGCAGAACTAGCCAAAGTGATTCTTCCTCGTTGCTGAAATAAGAGACTGTCACAGGAAGTACTTTAGGGAAAAATAAAGTTAATTGCACTTCGAGAAAAATCACTCTTTTTTACGTGTTTTCGTTCATGAAGAACAGAGTTACCCATAAAGGAATGGAATTGTTTGTGTCTCCAACAGAGTTGTTTACAGTTTTCACTGTGCATGTGATAATAACGGCGCTCGGTCAAACCTCTGAAGACACCAATCGACTCTCCCAACGATCACTAGAGCCACTGTTTCAGATGAGTGACATGACAATCAAGTGAAAAATGAAGAGACTGGTGGATTCCTGGAGAGGGTTTCAAACCCTTCCATCACCGTGACTCAATTTCAAAGGCCGAGATTAAAAGACGGGAGGATATAAACACTGTCATTTTGAAATTGGCAATTTTGTGATTAAGTCCCTCAAAACCTACACCATCCACTGAACCGATGCCGTTCATGTAATTGCTAAAACAGGAGCCCTGCCAGAAAGAAGAAATTGAATCTCTAGCATCTCTGGTTTTGCAGCTCCTCGGGGATTAATCTGCTGCTGTTAGACAATATAATCGTGTTATTCCAATCACACAGAGGATTAAAGGTTTTCCTACTGATTATTACACAGCTGTAAACTCTGAATCCACACCCGGCCAGAGCATGTGGGTAAGTGTGTTCAGACTGAACAGATGTCTGGACAGGGGTCAAACGCGTTGGCAGCCGTTCAGGCAGTTTGATGTGGTGTCCAGCAACAAACAGACTGAGGTGTAAAGCTGTGTCCGGATTATTAGGCCTCGCCTGTGTGAACTGTGTGGAGAATCAGCAGTCGACTGTACGAGGACAGCTGCGTGTGTTCCACCCTGCAACTGAACAAAAACCTTAATTAAATGTGATCAACAGTTGTTAAATTGCTCTTGTATGTCCACTGGCTGAGTTCTCTGCATGGTGGCACAGCGTAATTAAGTTGAATTAGACGTAGAATTGAGATGCAGCGCAGGGCGCAGCAGAAACAGAGGTAATTGTAGGGGAGTCCCTGTAACGTTCACTGACTTATCCTTCTGCACATTGGCATATGATTAAAACTGAAATGGAAGAAAAGGAGAAGGAAAGTGAACTACTTGTCATTGTGACACAGCACACAAAGAAATGTGACCGCTGCTTTTTAATCCACCACCAAAGTCAGCAGAGGGCAGCTTAAGCACCTGGGGAGCGGTGTGTGATGCCATGCTCAGAGGTACCTTGGCAGCTTGTGGACTTGAACTTGAAACCTTTTGGACCCAAATCCACTTTCTTAACCACCAAGCCACCACTGCCCCGAGAGGCGCTGCTAAACCTGCATTCAGAAAGATCATAAAAAGATTATTTTAAAAAGTTTTAATTAGCAGTACGCAACACGACTGCAATAAATCAACAGTCACTTCTTAACTGGGACACTGATGTTCTCCGATTGGATTTATTGTAACTGTCCCAGTTTCACTTTTGCCTTGAAGCTTAGACATCTTTCAAATTGCCCCCAGGTTTCTCTTCAGAACACGGGGTGTCTCGTATGTATCCTGTAGCGTTCTGTGGGTAATTGTATAAAGCTTTACAGTAATTGTTGATTGCACTTGTAGTTAAGACAAAGTCCACTGGTATTGATGAGTCACAGTTTGATTTTAGTGACATTTAGGATTGTTCATACCTATTGTTTTGGGACACCAGAGTTAGCATTAGCTACAACAGTCCTGTACAGACACCAGAGCTAAAGTTAGCTACAACAGTCCTGTACAGACACCAGAGCTAACGTTAGCTACCACAGTCCTGGTACAGACCCCAGAGCTAACGTTAGCTACAACAGGCCTGGTACAGACACCAGGGCTAACGTTAGCTACAACAGTCCTGGTACAGACACCAGAGCTATAGTCCATGGACAAGGAGATATTTGTCGTTCAGTAATAAGTAAACAGTTAATCCCTATATTTTCTCTATTATTAATCAATTAAAAAACTTTAATTCAACTTCAGGTAACAGCTAGCATTCTTTGGCTAACTTGTTGAAAGAGACAGACCAACTCTGCTGCTGTCTTAGAGCTTTGTGAAGAGTGATATTTTTTTTTTACGGTCACCGCACACTGGTGCTCTGCTATAATATAGATGCAGTTGTGGATTCAGATGAGCTGTCAGCTGACTGACAACAGAGCAACAGCAACCATCTGCTTCTGACTAGCTTTTTAAAACAACATTTGGGACGCAAGGTGTAAGAAATTACTGCAGCATTTTTGCCATCTGCACCGGTTTCACACGTCACTACTGTTGGTCTGTGTACACACTCAAAGGTCAGTCTGTGTACTGACACAGGAGTTACGTCCTGAAAATGTTCAGCACCCAATTCTCTGAAGGTAAAAATAAAATTCAAACATGTAAAGCGTCTGTGATCTGAGACACTGTACTTCTGTCCACTAATGACAGACCTGATGTCCAGTGTGTCTTGTTTGTGTCTTACTGAGTCCTCTGCATTTCCATGTGATTTCTCTAGGTGCCTTTGGTGGCGTCTACCTGTGAACTTGGTACTTTGGACTGAATCCCTCTCTGAAGCCCACTCGGAGGTCCAGAAGAACCTTTGAAGGCCCCAGGTTTGAAGTTGGCGACAGGCAGGAGTGGAGAGATGAAGACGTTTGCCATGTTCCTGGCAGCTTTGCTGATCCCCGCCATCCTAGCAGGCAAGTTAAGGATAAAATTCCACCGCCACATGAGTTCCTGTAATATTAGAGTGACATAAAAAGAGATGAAAAAAAAAAAAAAGTAAAAAAAAAAAAAAGTCAAATGAGCAAGAGACGGGAAAAAAGCTATGGTTTAAACATCCATATTTAATGACGACCTTCAAATAAAGAAAGAAGAATGAATTTCAACAGGGTTTGAATGTGAGGTGATACAAGTAGGGCAGAACATTGAATTATTCATGTCAATATTCAGCATCATTCATTCATCCTTGCAGCGTGTACGCAGGGAGGTTTGTCTCTGAGCATGCTCAGTAGGTATTTGCCACATTTGACTGTGAGAGAAGTAAAAAATGAGGAATCACATGCAACACAATGACTCTGATAGAAGAGTCTGAAACATTTGACTGACTTTTCATCTGTATGTGTGTGTGTGATGCTGGTATAGCTATACTTGTGGGGACACATTTATTTGAAAGTACTACTGTTGTGGGGACACTTGTCCATGTGGGGACATTTTTCAGGAGAGTACTTCAAGGTTTTAAGATTTGAGTTTGGAGTCAGGATTAGAGTTAGGACCAGATTCGTGTTAGGAAAAGGTTTAAAATAAGGTGAATGTTTCAAATTTGTTCTAAAATATATATTATCATTTTACTCAAAGAAAACGACAAACTGAAAATGATAGATTTTCTTCTACATGTATTCAAATATGGAAAAAAAAGTGCCATTAGGTGAAACAGCTTTGAGGTTGTTGAGCCTCTAATGTTGTTAGCATTTACATTAAAGGCTCATTCTGTTACATAGTCAATAGATTTAAATTAAATCCAGAAGAAGGCAGTATTGCAACTTCATGGTTCCGACAGTATTCGTCATCAGCTACAAACCCCCGACTTTATTTGGGATATTGATAATATTTACAATGATAAATCACCAAAATAGTTTTGAATGCATTTTCAACCTAATGCATTTGTTTTTCCTGGACTAAAACGGCACAGTAAATCCTACTGAAACATTTCTTTGTCTGGAGCAGAAAACTTTCCAAGTCTTGTTGAATTTACAGCACAATAAAAGCAACACAAACATCATAAAAATCTTACAAGATTTAGACTCACCAATGAAATCACTCTTGGTTGGTGATTGTAATATCTGTGTCGCTGAAGAAACACAAACACCTCACTCAGTCTTCTTCTACTGGGGTAAAAGTCACTAATGCAACCGAGACCCTTCACAGAGGATGTGCAGGAGTGGCACAAAATGATGCTTAAAGTTATCGACGTAGTATCAAGGAACAAATGCATTGTTCTTTTAAAATTCTCTTTTTAATAAAAGCCTGTGCTTTCAAGCTGACTCTAACAACACGTTACGACTTTAAGGAAGAGGAAATCAGGTGTTGGAGCATCAGATGAACCTCACAGAGGAGTCTCAGCTCCACTGGCAAAACTGCAAAGATAAAACGTTGGCAAGCAAATACCTGGACAACAGAGAGAAGTCCCTGTGCCCTGACATGTCCAGGGTCACGGTACAAGTCCAAGATTCAATAAGTCTGACTAAAGCTGCACAGGAAGATGGCTGAAGAACAGCCAACAACATCAGATTCCAGACTCTTGATTTTCTCTGGGGGTCTCGGTCTAGATAAGCACAGCATGTTCATTACAAAGTGACCATACGTTCCCCGGAATAATCACTGGAACAACAGGCCAGTGTTCCATTGTCTTTGTTCTTGTTTCTGCTCCGGCTCCGTGACCTCGGCCTCTGCACCAAAGCTCCTTTGGAAGTTCAGGTCAGGTTCCGTTTGGCAGCACAAGCACGTTAAGTGTAGTGAGCCGTTCTCACGCGTAAATGATGCGTCTGCCGTCGTGTACGTTGCGTCTGTGCCGGTGGTGAGAAGATGTTTGTCTGAGTGACGTCACAGCAAAACACCAGATTTGAATCAATATTTGGAACAAGGTTTTATTTAAATGCTGAGGCTGTGTACTGGGATGTACAGCCGTCTCTTCGCTCAATTATCAAATTAACCCAGAAGTCGTTATGCATCCAGTCAGATGTGCAGACAGCGGAACAACAACGTGTCTGTTTGTTCTACTGTGTTCTACTGAAACACACTGCAGTTCTCTGGACAATTTTAAATCGGAACACATGTCGATTGACTTGAACTGGTGCTTTGATGAATGCCGCTCCACCCAGTTCCTGAACTCAGAAAACATTACAGAGTGGGAATTTTTAGCCTGTGAACGGTGTCTGCACTGTTTCAGCATCTGGAACTGTTTAATACAGGACATGACTGGCTGTGCTGGGATTCAGTTCTGTATCCCACTGGCAGTTAAATGTTTCTTTGAGAAACTAATCTCTACAATATCTTTCAGTAATGATGTTCAATTGTTGGTTTTAAGGGAAGTAGAGTCTCTTTGATTTATTTGTTTATTAGTCTCAGGGCTGTGTGGAGAGCTGTACTAACCAGCGGTCCCCAACCTTTTTGGTACCAAGGACCGGTCAGTCAGTATCAGCTGACTGACCGGTCTAAACTAATGAACCGCTGATCTTTTGCTGTATCACACCAGCCTTAACCACTGCTCCACTGTGTGAATTTATTTTTCAGGTCTTTTCCCACAGTCGTTGTAAATAACTGTGATATTGCTTGAATTTGCACACTTTGAACCAGCGAGTCATTTTCATTATTGGGTCTGCTTTCCAATTCAAGTGTAACTGCGAAATTATAATTACCTCATTGGAATTCAGGTCAGAACATCATGAACTTGGTGCTTTTAGAAAAATAGATGACGCTCTTGAATATAATGTTCAGAGGCCGTCGTTATTAAACAACCAATTCTGAGCAATGCAGATTTTTATACAGGTATGAAACTATCAGAGCTAGAAAAGAAGTCTTTGACACGACTCCTGTCGTCGGCAAAGAGAATACGTTTTAAGAATGAATCATAAAAGACTAGAGATTCATAATCTATGAAAACAACAACAATCATGAAGCAAGAAACAGCTTCATGTCATAGATCTGATAATCCTGAGCAATTACATTTAAAAAAAAAAATTAAATTATAGATGCTAATTACTAGCACTAAACAATACAACTATAGCCGTTTAATCAAAGTACCCAATATATAATGTATATAACAAAAAAAATCGATATTTGCTCTGATTTCAAAATGTAGATTTGTTGTTTTTCATCAAATCAGAGGTGACACAGCTCAGCACCTGACAAAGACTTGATGATAAATCTGTTAGAGCTGTTGGAGACACAGACGATGGTCGTCCATCAGGTCCTCATCATCTGGCCTTTTATGTCCTGAAGGATTCCACTCTTCTCCAGTTCAGTTGTTTGGACCGATGTGGTCAGAGCAAAATCTAAGTTCTGGACGCCTGTTGTCAGCCAACCACATGGACCTGCATACAAATAGAAGAACAATAACATTTTAGTGCCTGTGGATGAGTTAGCATGACACAGGCCATGGGTACACACACACACACACACACACACACACACACACACACACACATTAAATATTCTGCCATCTGCCACTCTCATTTAAATGCAGGGCCAGTCACAAGTACCTCTGAACTATTTTGCGAAGCTGCGGTTTTAACGTGTGATAAATTATTCGTATTTTCTCTTTCTCTTTAGCCTCAGCTTCCCAACACAAAGAATGTAGTTGTTTAATTTTTTAACCCAAATCTTTCCCTCTTCCTTCTCGAATACTTTGGGAGCAGGTGGTTACAGACTCGCTGATGTAACCAAGGTCTGATCATTTAATCAGCGCAGTTGACCAACAGGCGGCAGGACGTGTCCTTCTGATTGGCTGATGGCCTTTAAAGCCAACAACAGTGTGAAACCTCAGAATATTAACAGAGCACGAATAGTAATTGATACCATGATTAATCATGATTAATTAATTAAATTAACATAATGACTGACCATGCTTGAGCCATGATTAATCATGATTAATTAACATAATGACTGACCATGCTTGATGGATGGCTAGATGAACATTGTCTGTGGTGTTGATTCTAACGTTTCTATAACGTTCTATACTTTTAGAATATTTTGGACAGAACCCTCCAGTGGTTCAGATACAACTGTTAACAAGTCAGTGAACGTGACTGACACTTACTGTACGGAAGCAAAACTGCAAACTGTGTCAGCGAAAGTGTATTTTTAGTGAAGTTGTGATGAAAGTCGACGTACCGCTTCATCAATCCTACTTCATTACCAGGATTCTTCTGGGGTTCAGTCCTCACCTAGTTTGTTGTTTTTCCGTCAGGGTTCAGACTCAGGCCGCGGTTCTCAGGGTGAAAAAGGAATTTAAACTGAATTTAAAAAAAAAGCAGCCTTATTTCCACTGACTGGCAGCTACGCTGTTCTGAGGAATGACTTCAGACGCTCAGTGAGAAATGTGTGAGAGCTGCTGCTGATGATGAGCTTTTCACCCCGGCTTTTGCTTTATGTCAGGATTTGCTCATGGTTTCAGAGTGTAAGCGTTTTCATTTCTGTGGCTTCATTTTCCGGGGCTGGCGAAGCTGGAGAGCTGTGGATGGAACAATCTGATTTCCATTTGCAGGTTCATTTGTAGTTTATATAAACAAAGGTAGTGGTGACGGAAAAACCGAATCAGTCAGAGATGAGTCAACGAGTGACGTTTTATTTTAAATTCAAAAACCACTTCATTGATTTTTATTGAATGTCAAATTAATAAAAATGAAATCTTGCTATCCACGTGCTCCAGTTTTATGCGTCAGTGCTAACTCAAACCAAAAACCTTCTGTCACAGCTAGTCCTATGCAGTCACCAGTACAAACAGACATGTAACGTTTCGTTCGCATCAGGTTACGTATCTGGACGCCAAGGTCATTCTTACTTATTTTGGAGTTCTGTCGGAGCCGTTTTACTTAAATCCTAAATCAACATTTACTCAGTTTTCTTTTCTCTTTGTACAAATTCTGACTTAAGAACACGTTTTCTTTGGAGGCTGATTTGGAACGACACCTTTGACCGGATGCTCGAACTCTTTTCTGACGCTGTGAAGCAACAAGTCTCAAAGCCTTAAAATAAAATCGGAACTTTTTTGCTGTTGCGTCCAGGGTGTTCACAGGCTGTAAAAAAATCCAAAGATTTTGCTGAACCTGACGCTGACCGCCACCGGTGTACTCCCTTGTTTTAACCCCGTCCTTTTACTCCACCTGCGCTGAATTAAATTGGCTGGACATGATTTACAGAGACGCCCACCTGTCTCACAGCTGACAGTACACATCAGAGCCAGTTTTGTTCACGGAGCTCAAGGAGCCGAGCACAAAGATCAGAGAAAACAGCAGAGCTGGGAAGGCTGGAAAAATGTTCCACTAACTGTTTCCAAAAGCTACAGGGACCTCCGTGAATCCACGATAGAAGAAATCTGGATCACACAGAATTCTTCCCAGAGCCGACTGTCGAACCAAGGTGAGAGGGAGAAATTACCCAGCAGTCACTTTGAGGGAAGTACAAAGCCATCAGATGTCAGCTCATCTACACACACTCACGTTGTTGTTGTTGTTGTTGTTGTCAGTAGTTGAAACAACAACATTTGGCTCTGACATAGAACTGGTTTGTACCGTCTGTGTTTTCAGTCCTTCCGTTATAAACCCAACCACATTTTTCAGATTTGGCTTTTGCTGTTTGATATTCCCCAAAACAATCTCTTTACAAATGTCGTCACTGGACCAGGAAGGATCCTGATGTTTGACAAGGAGCTTGTTTATTGGAAGTCTGTTGGAAACAGCAACTATTTCTCACCTGGTTGAACCTCAGTAGCTAATTAGCACATATGCTAATGTGGTTTCAGTTCTTTTCTCAATAGAGTTTGATGTTTATTTTTTGTAAACGTTAGCTGATTTAAATTAAATAAGAGGATGAAGCAGGATAAAAAACTGCTTAGTGCGCTGTAATACACAGTAATACTTTGAGTAGTACGAGTGGGTACTGTGAAAGTGTTGATTTTTGGTTCTGCTAAACTTGATTTAAGATGTTTTAAATATTTATATTTGAACTGCAGTTGGTCAAGAAAATGTCTTCACTGTTGGTGACCTCGTGAATACATAGATGAACTATGGCTGACGGGGAGGGGGAGCGTTGGGGGTTGGACCAAGACACCTATAGCACTGGAGTAGTCCGACTGACTTCCTACCGTTTTCTGTGGGTAGGTTTATGTGTCAGAATCCGCTCTGATTGGATAGCTTCATCTGTGGCTGTTTTTTTTTTACGTGGATTTTATTCTCTTCACCGATAAACGTCATTGTCATCATTTAGCTCAAACAAAACTTCCTGTTTAGTTTTCGTTTCGGAAAACCAGGCGGTCGATGAAGGCGGAAAAAGTCAACAACATTACGTCATCATTTATCTTCCTGTTTAGTTTTCGTTTCAGAAAACCAGGCGGTCAATGAAGGCGGAAAAAGTCAACAACATTAGCTGTGTGAAGAAGAATGACTTTGATGATTTCCGTCAGCATTGGTTGGAAACATTAGCTTCTGTCTTTGTCGTGATCTACAACGAAGTCTTCACTGATCTCCGGTTCTTTATTTATCTCTGCTTTCGTGATCGACGCTGATGTAATTCCAGAAGAATGAACGGGTCCAGATAACATCGCCTCCGGAAATGTGTGTGTCCACTGTGTGTGTGTGTGTAAGCAGTGTAAGCAGCCACTTACACACACACACACACACACACCAGGTCATAAGCTGATTAAACATGTCATGTCCACCTTTCAATCTGCGTCGGACCTCTGGGAAATCTACCTGACAGTTCAGATCTTCAGCTAGTCAGGGCCATCGATGGAATCATTAGGAGCCAGAGAGATGAGGAAAACACCACACACACACACACACACACACACACACACACACACTCACCCTCACCCAAAGGCAACACATTGGCATTCCAGTGCAGAGAGCTGCTCACAGTATCTGCTGCTGCAGACTTGATAATAACAGACACAATAGGTTCATCAGTCACTCTTACTCTTGAGTGAACAATCCAATAACCTTGTGGATTATTTAATCCCCATGAAGTGCTCAGACACTTACACAGTACGAGGCTGCAGAGTAAACAGATATACTGAGCTGTAGTACTGAGTACTTCAAACCAATAATGTCCTCAGTGTTGAACATTCTGGAAAACAAGTCAGATGGACCTCAGCTCTGTGTGAGTAGAGCTCCCCCTCTGGTGGGCTCTGGTTCCCAATCTGGTGTATTCGGAATATTTCAGGAAGGTCGTACTTTCTTTTCAAATGCGATGTTTTGAGTTCCGAGGGAAATTTCCTGGACTTCCAGCACCCCTTGGGGCTATGCAGTGGTACTGCAGGAGAATTGTAAAATGTTAGTTTGAAAAGAGACTGTTTTGATTGTATAGTGTTGTACCGCTGCTAGTCATTGCTCAATGGGTTTAGAATGAATCCGCAGATCATCAATAGAAAAGCCCAGCCGTATATTTTCTAATAAGGGAGCAGTTGATTTTTCAAAGAAAGTTTCTTACTTTTTGTTATTTTACTTCTCTTACTTGTTGCTTTGATATTTGGTATTAATCACTTTTCATCACACTGACATTTAACAGAACCTCAGTAACAGGAAGAATGTAACAATCATGCAGCATATTAATCAGGAATGAATAAGAAATTATGTTAAAAAAAGCTTTAAAAATGTCTTAAGGCAAACATAGCAATTAAACTGAACTGTACCCAGCAGTCACCTTTGTCTGGCTTCTTTAAGCCTGACTTTTTATCAGAAAGCTGCTATTCATGAAACCTAGACTGTGGCACTCAGACGCATTAAAAATTAAAAGCTGGAGCTCTGAAAGGTTTTTACTCATCATTAAGAGCGGAGGCATTTATGTCTTAATCATGTTGCTGTGAGTAGGCAGAACAGTTGATTATTTTTTAAGTGTGATGACAATGGAGAACAGGCTTTCAGCAGTCGAATCCATGCCGTTCACTCGCCTTAATTACACGGCATTTGCTGACAATCAGTTTGACAGGTTGACAATAAAATAGCCTAAAGGAAAAGTATGTTTTTTTTTTCTTTGCCCTTGGATTAGCTAACACATAATGAGTGCTAAGTGTGAGGTTTAAAAAATAAATATATATATTTATAGACCAGGGTCACGGAATTGTGAGAAAGATTTCCCCATACCATGGGAAAATCTACGTAGTGTATATGTATATATATACATTTGTATATATATATGTATATATTTATATATGTATATATGGAAATATCTTTCTGAAAGTTAGCATCACAGAAATAAATAAATCAAAATAAATAATGATTCTACATTTTCAGCAGCAGAAATAATAATAATAATAATAACTCTTGTGAATATTATGGTATAGCTTTTATACAAGCAACATTAAATAATAAGAAATTAAACAGCATAAAACTTACAATAATACCAACAGAAATAATAATAATAACTCTTGTGATTATTATGGTATAGCGTATATACAAGCAACATTAAATAATAAGAAATAATCATTATATAAAAAAAAGTCTTTTTGAAATCCACTAACAGGTGATGGATGTTGTGCAGGTGTAGATGTGATGGGTCATCGTGTTTGTTTCCTGCCCTGCAGCGTGTCCAGATAAGGAGCCTGGTCTGCAGCCATGGATGCCAGGACACAGTGAAGACCATCGTGTGACGATTGGCTACGGCAGAAAGGTTCTTCTAACAACCTCAGCTACGGTCCACTCCATCGAGATCCTTAATGGGGGTAAGTCGGACATGGACGTGGACTACATCAGGTTCTGAAACAAATTTAAAAATTGGCCAAATTCAGCATATTTTTTCCTAAGATGTTCATACATTATTTGAAAAGTCTTTTCACATAGTTTTTTACAGTTTTTTTTCTGGTCTATTGGTCTCATTACCTGATCCAAATTCTGCGGCTAAGTTCTTTGATCTTTGAAGTGTATTTGGCTCAGTTACATAAATAGAACCTTGAAGTGACGAAGAACAGTTACATTACCACAGTGACGAGCCACAGCACCCAACTAGAACTCTGTTCCACAGAAGCTTGCTGATGTCAGTGCACGTGTCTGCTGTCGGTGCTCAGGGCCTTAAATGGTATCAGGAGGTTCTGATGGCTCTGAGTGCTGGAGCATGAAGAACCTTCTGGGAGACCTGCTCACCCTCCTCCTCCTCTCCTACTGTTTCTGCTGCAGGAAAGTTGGTGATTGCTGACACCAGCCGGCCGATACTCCTCCGAACCAAACACATCCTGATAGGCAACAAGGGGGCGCTCCACATTGGCAGTCCAGAATGCCCTTACCAAGGCAACCTGACCATCTCCCTGTTTGGAAGGTAAGATTCTGTCAGCTACAGCTGTACTTGTAGTGCTGTAGTTCACTGTGAGTATTAGTACTAATTAACTGTATGTGTTGATGCAGTTGTTATTATTCATTTAATACACAACGTTAGCTCTAGTGTCTCTATCTGAACTGTTGTAGCTAACATTAGCTATGTTGTCTGCACCAGGACTGTTGTAGCTAACGTTAACTCTGGTTTTTGTACCATGACTATTGTAGCTAACGTTAGCTCTGGTGTCTGTACGTTCATACTGTTTCTAGGTCAGATGACAGTGATGAAGAGCACAGCTACTTTGGGAGGAAGTACATTGGTGTAGGAACAGGGGGCACCCTGGAAATCCATGGTAAAAAAAAGCTGTCGTGGACCCTCCTCAACAAGACCCTCCATCCTGGAGAGAGCAACCAGAACAACTACCTGTTTCAACGAAGCTGGGGGAACCGAGGCATCATCGTCCACGTCATCGACCCCAGGACAGGGGAGGTCCTGCAGGATGACAGGTGGGACTCTGCAGTGGCCAACATGTCTCTAGACCTAGACCAAGATTCTCTGAGGTTGAGATTTACCTTTTCTCCCCCCACAGGTTTGACACCTACCGCAGTAAGGATGAAAGTCGTCGTCTGGCCAAGTATGTGGACAGTGTGGACACGGGACTCATCCTGGCTGTGATGGTCAACGATGAGGGCTCCAACAACCTGGAAGACTCGGCCAAGAAGGTTCTGTCTCAGCTGGGCAGTCAGCAGATCGGCAGCCTGGGATTTCGGTGAGAGCCCTTTACACCATGTATTTACTGCAGTACTTCAAGAAATACATCCATGGATAATTGAAGAGGTTTGACATTTAGATTTCCTGTTCCATTCCATGCCTAACAGTAGTGAGCTCCAAAATGTGGGGGTGGGCTCCCTATTATAGTGAATTATAGTGTTCACTATAATAGGGAGTTCAGTTAAAAGCAGGAACTGTGAATGTGTTAATATGGGGGGGGGTCCGACTAGAAGGAATTTGCATGTTCTTCTATGTGTATGTGTTTGGGGGGGGGGGTTGAGGGCTGGGGTGTCAGGTGTCTCCAGTGTCTTTGGTGTTTCCTATGAGTTGACCATTGGTGTGAATGTTGCCCTGTGATGGAGTACAGAACTGCCCTGGGGGTGACCCCGCCCTCGCCTGAAATTGAAATATTATCTACTGCCGGTGAAGAAAACGTTCTTTTGCTTCTTTGTGACTGACTAAATCTGAAGGTTTTTATCTAAGGCTCACAGAGCCAGATCATCTAACCTCTATAAAATGATCAGTGGAATGTCCTCATGTCTAACGACGTGACTCCGTCATAACGTGGTTACAGTCATTTATGAACACGACTTTATAGAAATCCTGTTCTTTAATCCTGGGCTTGATTAAAAAAGAAAAAGTTTGACATAGACAGACTCCATCAGATGGAAACTGATCAGTTTGGACTAAAAGTTCACGACATTTTTCTGATTGATGCGACGAGGACCAACGTCTTTGGACTTCTTCACTTAAGAGTCAGCTTGTTTATCAGCATGGTGGGAGGGGGGGTTGTGGGGGTGATGAGAGAAAGAGCCAGGAATTGTTTTGTATGGACACTTTTTTTTATTGACTGCTGCAGATTGATGAGAAAAATTCTTCTAGCTTTTATGGCTGGTTGACTTTTTGTAATTAATCCCTGCAGCTCCGAAGAACCTTTTGGTTTTTAAAAGATTTTCACCAAAGACTCCGCGGCGTTGACAGATGTGGCCATTTGTTTCGGTGCTCGTATCTCATTATTCCAAATCATTGTGAATGTGCTATCACAGAGACTGCATTTACAAAAGCTCATAACTTGAGGTGCGATCTTCTTAGTGTTCATTTTTACAAAGACTTGAACTCCCAACACTTCAGTCTGGTCGTTTGAATAGTAGCTCCAAAGCCAAAAACACTTCTTTGGCTTTGGAGCTACTGTTCAAAGGACCAGACTGGTTTACAGGCTGAAATAAAGTAAGCATCGTGGTCACCATAGTAACCAGACCTGACCTGACCAGACAATCAGAAGGGGAATCAGAAAACACTCTTGACAGAGAATATTTCATTGGTGAAATCCAAGGTTTTCAGTCCGATCACCAGCTGAGTCCAGAGGTAAAACTTCTGAATAGTCCGTTGGTCGTGGGGTCTTTAAGTTCCTCTGGACTAATTCTCCTCCCGTGGCTTCAACATGTTGTTCATATTTACTTTGTTTGATCTGAGCTCGGATGAAATCTTCGCCTAAAAACCCTAATGAGAAAAACAAAATAATTAAAGCAAATGATGTTTACTTTGAAAATGGAACTGTAGACAACTTGAAAAGAAACTTAAATCCAAAGAAAAGCAAAATATAATTCAAGAACAATTCAGGGAGGGTGGGACTGACGGGAGGGTGTTGGATCTCTTTGTTTTGCAGAAAAATACAAGCAACCATTTTTGTTGTTGTACTTTAGAAGAGAGAATACTTCATAATTTATCTTGGGACCAGATTATTGAGGTATGATAATGAACTTGGTGACTGTCCCAGGGACACACCAGCATACAGTACAACAATAACCTGCCAATAATCTGCCCAGTCGGGGGCAGCTGGATTACTGTGTAGGTCCTGGAGATTTAACTTAGAGAGAGAACAAGGGAGGGAGGAAGAAGAGAGAGAAGAATTCAGGAATGCTCGAGGAACATTGTACGATAACAGGACCCCCGGAGACGTCTCTGTCTCTGACAGGGGGAGTGTGGTTTGGACCAGCTTGTCTACGTTTTCATGGAGACGTTGACAAATCTGTCCTACAAGAATCATCCCTACTCTTTGGCTCGTAGCACACGCAGTGTGGACCGCAGGCTCGTGCGTCAGGCCTTTGTTACTGTTGGTGTGTGTGTGTGTGTGTGTGTGTGTGTGGACTGCAGCCCTTGTTGTGGGCTGAGAGCAGATGCTGGTGAACCTCTGGCAGCTCCTGCCCCCGTCCTGCGGTTTGAATCACAGGCTTGGGTGAAACCTAACGCTACTCCAGGAAACTCTGACAGCGTTAGCATTCCCTCTGCGTGTTTGCATTTTTGCTCCTTGGCTGCGTGAAGACATAGTAAAGAGCAGTGATGGCGAGGAGACAGAGGAATTCCTCTCTAATGAATCCTGTCGCCTCGTCTCCTCACTCCGGAGCCAAGCAGACAGACACTCGTGTCATCGGCAGAGAAAGACGTCTAATTTGTGACGCTAACAGAGAAACGCTAATGAGCGTGAATTGATGAAGCACCGTCGTCTCTGCGTTGCGTTCCCACTTCTGTCATTTGCATATGTTTACTGTAGCTGCCACTGTGGAGCGTGGCTTAAAACGTGGCACACCTGCTGTGCAGCTGTTTCTTTTTCATTTTAGCTTGATAATAATTTGATAACTCATGGATGCTTACCATGAACTATCAAAGGAGCGCTGGTTTGGCATTATTTTAGAAGGACTCAAATGAAAGAAGAATTTTCGGAACATGTTTTTAAAAACAACATGTTTTTATTGGCTCAGGAACATCAGTAAAACATGAGTTACAGTATTGGCCAAATTAAATAGGTTTAAGTAAAACAGAAAACGCATGTTGTTTGATCAGGAGTCAGTGAATATTTTGTCAACACAAAGTGTTTGGTTAAAGCGAGGGTGTCAAACATACGGCCTGCGGGCCAATATCGACCCGCTACGGGTTCAATCCGGCCCTCTTGATGAAGTAAAATAATGCACAAACACGGCATGACCCTCTTGATGAATTTTAAAAGTAAAATAATGCACAAACACGGCATGAGTTTTGAGGGTTTTTTAAAATATTTCATTAAATGTATTATGATGTATTGTCATTTATATGTAATTATGTTATAATTGTGCTCTTACTCTTTAAGCAATTTCAAGCAAAAGCAGTGAATATGTCAGTGTTTTTTTTTTCAGATATTTCCCTAGTTTTAGGTTCATTTTTCACTCTGAGATGAAAGTGTGAGTGTGAATGGCTGTGTGTCTATATGTGGCCCTGAGATGGATCAGCAACCTGTCAGGGTGCCCCCCCCCCGTGTCCCCCCCCACCACCAACCTGAAAAAAACAATGTTGTTTGTTGTTTATATTTATTTATTGTTTCAGCCTAAACATATTTTTCTTTTATCTTTTTCTTTTTAGTCTGTGCACAATTTTTACTCCTTGCCAAAACGTGTGTTATGTCACGTATGTTTTACCGTAAACACAGCAATGAATGCTGGGATAAATAAGGAAAACAATCCTGGCGGAGGCCGACGACTGTTTTATTTCAACCCTATTAGACACAGCAACACTGTCATCTGTGTTTGTGTCAAACTCCACACACAGGCAGCGTGAATCGTGTACTTTCACATCTCTTCTCTGCTTTCATCAGCAGTCACGGCCCGTATCCGATTGGATTTCTCCTCCAGCTATTCCTTCTGCCTTTTCCCTGTCACATTCTTTTCTTCTACTGCTACGATATCTGTCCTCTGTTTTTCTTTCGCTTCTCGTCTCGTCTCAATTCTCTGTTTTCCTTGACAGGCATCCGTGGACTTTTATTGCAACGAAAGGCGATACATCTTCCGTTGTAGAGGATCATGCCGTCTATCAAGGTAAAAATGTGTTTAGTAGGAAAAAAAGCATTAATGTTCCAGGGTGTTTTTCAGCTCCTTATAAATGTCAGTCGTTCACAGGAGAACCTCGATCTAATTGATGTTTCATGAATAACATATTTTTTAAAAACTGGGTTCGTTGACTGATGTCACTGCCGAGGTCGCCCACAGACGAGGTTGAGTCTGAAACACTCTCCAGCCCAACATTCCTTCAGTATTTATTCACCTTTAAAAACATAAAAAATAGGATAACTTAAAAGTTACAACCTTGAGGTTTGGTAAGTGTGATTTTAGAATTCTTCTGGACAGATACTCAAATAAACTGAAATAAAATTCACATATTTGTCTAAAATTTATTGGATGTTTATTTTGGAATCCAGTTGCGGGCCGGATTAGGCGGTTCAGTGGGCCAGATTCGGCCGGTGAGCCACCAGTTGATGATCGCCGCTGTAGTCCAAATTATCTCTTATTTTTCTGATGCAGTTACGTTCCTTCACCATCTCCTGGAATGGAATGTACATGGCCTGTCCGTCCTGTCCGTCCTGAAAGACACGGTCACATGTTCATCAGTAACAAATCTCTCTGTGTGTTTGTTTACAGGGACCAAGGCTTCCTCAGAGGCCAGGAGCTCACGTGTTTTCCGCTCCAGCTTTGGAGATCATTTTACCATCACGGCCAGCAGCCAGTGGGTGCAAGGTACTGGGCCCCAACCCAACTGTTTAGCCACTAGTTAAACGGCACACAAAGAAAGAAGTAGTAATAGTAGTAGTGTTGAAAAGATATATTTTTTAACCCCATGCTTTTCTATTGTCGATGTTAGCATCACAACCCAACAGGACCAACGCTCAAATATTCTGTTTACACTAGGGATGTAACGATGCATTGTGAAATGGTTAAAAATCGATACAGATGCATATCAATACACATCGGTTGGAATAAAAAATGACTCACGGTGTAAGGAGTAGGCTGCAGTATCTCAAAAAGTCTCAAAAAGTCACTGGTCATACCATGACAACACACGCTTAGTACAGTAGGTGGCAGTGTGCGTTTAAAAACATTGGTTGTGACCTGCTATTAAACCAATAAGTCATGTAGCCAAAGTGACATTCAGGTGTAGAAACAGAACGTTAAGTCATGTAGCCTAAGTGACATTCAGGTGTTGAAACAGAACGTGGGAAGAACTTGTTCCACAGACACCAACAGTGTTTTCCAGTGTTCCTGTAGAGAAAGGAACTCTTTCCAGTTCATATTTGTTTCTATTCTTTTGTTGTTTCATATATTGACAGTTCAGGTCAGTCAGATTAGACCAGTTTGACTTTTAATCAGAGCAGATCAATGGTGATGTGCAGCGTTTCTGGAAGGAAATTGGACTTTTTTCTCTTCTGTTATTGAAGAGAACAGTTTCAGTTGATGATGGGATGATGGGATTTCTTACAAAGAAAAGGATCAGTGGATTTGATCAGAGTTTGTCTGGAGCTCATTTTGTTTCAATCTTACAAAAAAAAGGATCAGTGGATTTGATCAGTTTGTCTGGAGCTCATTTTGTTTCAAAAACAAATTGTGATAAAATCGTTTCATGAGTTGAGTGCATGGTTACATCCCCAGTTTCCACAAATAGGCTACTCTACGTACACCCCTCTTTATACCGTCTGGTAGTGTACAGCTCAGGAACTACACCTGTAGACACACAGATAAACAAATCTATTTTCACTCCGTCATCCCACTGCCGCTCTTTAAATTCCTCTTGAGCAGCCATCGATTGGCCGTCTGATATCATCGCCACATCATCTTCTCATCAATACTTCTGCTGCTCTGCGTGCTGCTATTACTGAACCCTCCTCCTCCTCACGGCTGTAAAGGTTTCCAATAAGATGCTTCTCAACTCCCATCAGACACTGCAGCTTCCAGTGAGTCTTTGCAGCAAAACTATGTTGACACTTGATCACAGTCATACAGTGGCAGAAGCCATGAGGTCACATTGTTTTTGTCAGCTTTACTCTGTCTCAGTGTCCAGATTTTAATTCAAACTTGTGGTTAAATGGATCTGAGTGACGCCGTGTTAGTCGGACAGAGAACGTAATTAACAGAGAGTCCTGATACCATGGCCTCCGACAGCTTAAATGGACTGGCCGTAGATCAGGGCGTTATCCACCACTCAACTGTCTGAAGGTTGAACCACGGTGAAGTGACGCCTGTGCGTCTCCATTTGTGGTTCTTGCAGAAGCAGAGTGGACAGAATGGTTTGACAGGGACGATGAGAGGGGATCTGGAGACTGGGAGAAACTCTCTGATCTGCACAAGGCCTACCCCGACCGCCTGTGTGGCAGCCCACTGGACATCCAGGTAAATAGACACAAACATTTAATACATCATAAAATGATAACTGAAGAACACACTTTGTCCTAAAACCTTCTGTGGACGATGGCTGTCATGGAGAACATCCGTCTGCTTCACGTCCACTGTTTTTATGGTGAATGAAGGGGACACAAAAGAATACTGCAGCTCTTTTAGTGCTGTGTATTATTGTCTCGACCTTAGTGTTATAAACCACCGAGGTGACATTTAGAATGCTGCTGTTGGATGATTCTTCTGTCAATCATTTTACCATTTGTGTCCCATTTGCTTTATTCTTCTTCTTCTTTCCGTCTCAGCACAAGAATATTATTTACAAAGTTGATTTTTGGGATCTATTTAAAAAAGTCTAACTTGTTCTCCTATTCTGACCCAGTCTACGGTTTGGTCCAAAATAGCTACAAAGTTCTGGTAAAAATCCCCCTTCACTTCCACCAAGTATGTAGGACAGCAGGAAGGAATGAAGGATTTGTCTGTTTTGAAATGTTTCTATTTGTGCGTTACGTTCTCCCCCCTGGGTACTTTGTCGCCCCAACAATAAAATAGCAGACTGGGGATTAGGGTTGATTGGACACTTCATTGACCATAGGATAGTTTGTCTCTACTATACATGACTTATAACATGACATGACTTATATTCACTGCTGTGAATATAAGTCAGCCAACGTGTGTGTGTGTGTGTTGGGGGATGGGTAGATGGATTGAAGAATGGATGAATTCAGCCAGTGAGGTTGGATGGATGGATGGATGGATGGATGGTTTGGTCACTCTAAGAATCTTCTAACCAATGGCGTTGTATTGCCTTAAAACCACCAGTGTTTCTGTGTTCATTTGGGAACAGGAACAGTTTGTGTTCATTAACATGTTGGCAAAGAACAAACACCAGATTGTTGCCATTGGCTGGTTTCCATCTGTTCTTCCCTAAAAGTGTCAAGAAATTTAAATTTACATCGACTTCTATACAGCTATAAAGTTCATTTAAAATTCCGTCAGCGGTTGGGGGTCGGGATGTTGGTGGAGGATGGGGGGCTCTGTAGCACTTTTTATATTCGACATGTTGGTTTCCTCATGTTTTGAAAGTTCAGAAGCTTTTTCTGCTTTAACAAATACTTTACTACGTTTTATTATAAAATGGTCAAGTGGAAACTCTCCCTTCAGTTGTCTGTCTGTATCCTATCGTTCCTTTATCTTTATTTTCCACTCAGCTAAAAATTAGCCTGATTAAAGGTGGCACCAACCTGGTCTCCTCCTGGTGCCACTTCTTCCTGCTATTTAATGATTTCCTCTCTTATTTCCTTTGTTCAAATGAAAACCGAGGCATCGTCCTGATTCACCTCTGGGTTATTTAATCTCCTTTCCCTTTCTGGTGTAAATTTGTGCACAAAGA